CCCGCTCCTGCTCCTGCTGCTGCTGCTCCTCCTCCTCCTCCCCAGGCTCAAGCTCAGGAGGCAACTCCTGAGAAATCTCCGTGGGAACGATTGAGGCCGATTACGCCGGGTGACGAAAACAGCGAGCAGGATCAGGCCGGTTTTCGACCGCGGACATACCAGCGCAGCTGCTGAATTTCACCTCCCAGAAGTTGCCTCCTGAGGGGTCGCCAAGTCTCATCGCCGAAAATTGAGCCAGACCTTCGACGACTGGGCTTCTTCGAACCGCCGGCCCGCCCATGGAGCTTTCCGTCCCGCCCCGTGCCACCTGGCGGAAACGTCTCTTGACTGCCAACCCCGTCCTCGACGTTCGACTACCAGGTAAAAAAATGCATGGCCATGGCCACACCCCTGCCCTCCCCAGCGCTCCCTGCAGATCCCGTGACTTTTTTTTCAGTTGGCGGGCCCGACAAAAGCACGCGGGCGGGATGGCGACAGCGCACGGGACGAGCCGAGCGCAAGGCCGTCGAGGTCAACACTGACAAATCGCAGCTAGTCGCAACCACCTGGAAAAGCATGAACACATCAGCGGGAAGTCGCCCGCAGAACTATGTGTGGCCTGAGGTGGCACTGGCGCACTTCGCGCCCGCCACGGACATCGTCCGTCCACTGGCGACAAGAATCTTGAATTATCCTCATCCTCCATCCGCAGCCCCTGGCTTTCATTCTGCCACTCTCCCCCCCTCTTGCCGAAACTAAGTATTCCACGAACGCCCGAGGAAGACAGCTGTACTTTGAAAATCCACAGTCCGTTCCTTTTGCAAGATCGGTCCCTGGATATACCACCATGCAGCTGATACGCATCCACAAATACCTAGTGAGCCATTAAGGTCATTGACGCTGAACGGTAACTACAAATGGGACCACCCTTCGGGCGGTACTGAGGATTGGGGGGGGGGATGGTTGCAGCTTTCGGTTTGCGATTGGCGTGGGATCGCGCTTTCGATGTATATACCTGTCGAAAGACCTCGACACTTAGATATCATTTTTCCGACCTGTCAATCGACCCAATGCCGACATATGTTTCGCCCTGCCTTCCGAATCAACTACCTGTCCCTCGTCAGTGCATATATATGTGTATATATATATATGGAAAGAAAGCCAACAAGAAAGCCAACCTACACCGACAACTTTGCGCAACAACGCAACATGCCAACCACAGAACAACCATCGCGGCAATCACAAGACAACCACGGGCCAACCATCGTGTCAACAAATAAAACGAGCAACCAACAAAACCACAAGACAATAACACAACAACACAAACAAAAAGAAACCACGGGACACTCGCGGGACAACACACACACACACACACACAAAATACCCGCGGAACAACCACCCGGTAACTGCAAGGCAACCACAAGACAACGGCAATACAACCGCGAGACAACCACGGATCAACCGCCAAACAACCACGAAACAACCGTGATGCCACCGTAATACAAGCATGGAACAACCATGGAACATCCCATCCCGCATCATGTTGCTGACAGTTCCAGGCGCAAGAGAGCGGACCCAAACTGACCAACAACTGCTAACACTAACAATACAAGCGCTCACCCTGCCCATCATGTCCTCTTGCTCCTCCTCCCTTCCCCCCAAGAGGAGGACAGGAGAAAAAATGAGTGGAAGACGAAGGATACGACTGGGGGGACATGACAAAACGCCAATCCTGTCGACAGACCCGCCCGCAGCATCGAGAATCGATGGGGGGGCCGGAAATACAACTCCAGCGGTTCCAACTAAACCTGAAGGAACGGGAGGGGAGCGAATTGGAAGGGCCCCAGGGATGACCCAGGGCACCAGCGGATCATACCTCAAGGTCGATCGAACGACAAAAAAGCCGCCAGGGCCCAAGCACAGACATGGGGCGGCGAGGCGTCAGTCAGGAGCGACAAACACCGAAAGAAAGGCAACTCTTGGGACCAAGGTGATATCGGATTCCCACTCTTGTGTGCCAAGCCCGCACTGAGCAGCTCAGCGCTGTGCCGGGCATAAGACAACGTGCTACGATCCTGTGGCGGGCCAGGGCAGTTAAGGTCGAGCTTCGTCACATGCTACTGATGTGCAGGCTCCAGTGGCCGCGCAGCTCGCAGATCCCCGCGGGGCCAAACATCGCAATGTTTGCGCCCGCCCCTAAGGACTGGCGACCCTAGGCACGGCAAGGAAAAAGGAAACATATAACTTTCGGGAGTTTGAGGCAAGCGAAAAGAAATCTCGCAACGAACCAAAAACCGACTCGCTTGCATCAAACCGTGCTCAATAATCGACGACCTCGGTGCAACACACGTGTTGTTCGCCTGCTTCTGGGGTGGGTCTGACCCGGCTTGGCGATGCAAGCGAACCGCCCCCGACACCAGGACCGCGAGGTGGCGCGCAATGGAGGCTGCGGTCTCCAGCGGGCTCTTGCGGTTTTCTGCCAGCGCGCCCGCGCCCTTCACGGGGGCGCCCCTCGATGCGCCAGGCAATCGGCCCAAGCATTGCCCGCCGGGTGGGCCCGACTTCCCCCTCCAAGCACATGCTCGATGAACTCCTCGTGCGCGGGCAACCACTCGAGCGAACTCCTCTCCACACCATTCTCGCACTGCTGGATGGCGCCACTCCAAGTCGCCGCGTGCTTCGAAGACGAGGAATACAACGTCGGGAACTACTTCTCGGCCCCCCCCCACGAGAGACGACGTTCCTGACCCGGATCATTCCAGCAAGCCTTCTGCCCTTAGGCACAGTCTGCTCGACGCCAGGAAGGCCGCCGCATTGAGCTTTCGTGGGCCACCCCGTCCTCGGACACAGCTAGACGACAGCCCAATCTACCCTGCGCAAGGTCGGGCGCACTGCAGCCCCGAGGCGTCGGCATCGACTGCTGGGCGTCATTCCCCAGATGCGTCGCCCCACTCGAACACTTCCAACTTATCTCCTGGAGGCCCTGGCTGCGCCGGCTAAAAAGTGTCGCGTCCGCCGCAGTGGTCATCCAATAGCTTGCGTCGACGCTCTTTGACTTGGATCGCGACCTCTGTCGCTGGCTCTGGCAGCACCCCCGACACTCACATGAACTTCTGGCATCACTTCCACCGATAAGCCAGCGTGCCCCGAGGGCAGCCGCAATGGGCGCACGACCGTGGCGCGGCAAGCCCGAGGTCGGAAGCGGCGTCAAGGCATCGCAGCCGCCCTGGCCATTGCTTTCTGACCGCCGCTCTCTGAACGCGACAGGGCATCTTGAGCGCTGTCTTCCTCGGAACCTTTCGCAATATGATATCGCCGCTCATGTGCTCAGGTAGGTGTCACAGAGTGCGCATGACCTGCCATCGATACGTGGACGGCACCAACCTGCCATCCACCTCCTTCGGCGCCACCTGATTTCCGCCGGCCCCATTGCGGAGCCATCAGGCTGCGAAGATGAGGTTTTCATGCTCCCTGCGCCAATTCCAATCTCAAGTCTCCAATTGTACAATCCTTCTTGCTGCTTCCCACTGTAAAGTGCCACTGATAGCCCGTGGGGGGGGGCCCAAACCACCCATTTTGCCGCGCCCAGATCGCATTGCGCGCATTCCTGGGGGGGCGCGGGACACGAAAAATACCATGTTCGCGCCCCCGAAGCCATAATCCCCAATATGTTATACCATCGCGCACGAGGCCGCGAACCATCGCGCATTGCAGCAATACTCGCGCCCCCGAAGCCATAATCCCTTGCAAATTACGCTATCGCTGCGCCCTCGAACCCACAAACCCTCGTGAATTATCAAATACTCGCGCCCCCGAAGCCATGCAACCTTGCAAAATGCGCAAGTTGCGTCCTCGAGGCCACGCACCCTTTAAATATATGCAACACGCGCGCCCCCGAAGCCATGAACCATGTTAACTCGCGAGCCCCCGAAGCCATACACCATCGAAAATTACACCACGTTCGTGTCCCGGGGGGCACGAACTTATGCAAATTACACCGCAGTCTCGCCTTCGAGGCCACGATCCCTCGTGCATCGCAGCAGATTCTCTCCGTCGAAACCACGAATATAATAAATGACACGGCGTTCGTTGCCGAGGCCAAGACCGCCCCACGACGGTCCAAGAAGCCCCCAGGAGAGCCCCAAGACGGCCCCAGAGGGCACCAGGACAGCTCAGGAGGCGCCCGAGACGGCCCAAGAACTCCTGAAGATGGCGCCAAGGGAGGTCCAAAGCGGGACTCCGAACCAAAGGTTTGACCTCTCAGCTCCGCGAAGGCGAAAGAGGGCCCCAAGTGGCTGCCGAGCCGCCCCAACAGGCTTCCAAGAGGCACCCCGAGAGGGCAGCCTAAGCCACGCGACGGCACCCAAAGTAGCTACAACCGGCCCCGAATCGCTACTCCAATGCATGGCGCGAATGGAAATTCGATAGACACGATGCGGACTTCAACACTTCGCTCTGAACCAAGTCTGCCGAATAACCAATCGCCCCCGCAGGAGGTTCCGAAAGTGTTTCGCAGCGGCGCACAGAAATTCCAGCACAACTCTGAAATGGCCCGTTATGATAGAGAGGGGGCCAGCGGCAAGGGGCGAAAACCCCGTGGATGATGGGCGCTCCTTTCCCAAGTCATCTGCCGTGTCCGGAGGGGGCTAACCACCTCCGAATTGGCTTTATCCAACACGTGCAACGCCGCCGGCGTCGGCCCTCTAGCCACCTGCCACGTCGGCGAGGCGCCGGACGAATAGCAGCCAGGTATTCCCATGCATGATAAAGAACAGACCTGGGCTTGCAATTCGCCCAGGCGACACCGGCATCCCCTGACGAGACATGTCTCGCAATCAAGCATTGGATCCATCCGATCGCAGCGTTGCGAAGAAGGTCGAGCGCGAGTGATGAGTTTCTGGCCGCGTCCATCATGCGGCCGCGCAAGTGCGCAATGGCTGGGGCACCGCGTCTGCGGCCCCACTGACTCGCGCGCCGTGCCCCGCCGATGGCGGGGCCCCGAGCGCCGCGGAACTCGGGCTCTCTCTTGCACCGTACCCCATCGACATCTACGCCTTCCTCCTCCGTCTCGCGAGCGCTCTCATCCTTTCTTTCTCCTGCTTTCGAAATGCTCGAACCCAGAGCGACTCGATCCCTGGGTTGCGGGGGTGCCGTTTTGAACTGGGCCTCGCGCGCTTCACCCTTGATGAGAAGGCGCTGTTGGCCCCTGCCGTGGTTGCGACTAGACCGAGCCCATCCCCGCGCAGTCCCGATTCCCAATTTCAGAGCGTCACCTTCGGAGATCCTAACAAGGTTCAAGGGCCCCCACTCCTCTGGGGCCCTGTCCGCGCCGCTGCATCGCTATATCACTCGCGAGAGCGAGCGCGCGCACCGCGTCGCACCTCTGGCGCGCAGCGTCCAAGAATTTAACCTGGCCGCCCTGAATGCGGCCGCGGCATGGGCGCGCCCAGCCAGCGCTCGCGCACATTCGGGCAAAGATATATTCCAGCGCCCGCGTATCCTTGGCAAAGAGATAAACATGTTGCTCCTATGCGGGCATTCGCGCACCGTGCGAGGCGCCGCGCGCGCCTGGAAGGTCACGCAGACGAGGAAGAAGGGGCCGCCCAGAAACCAAGCTCCCATCAATGTCTGACACCACAAAAATCTTCACTACCTGAAGACATGTCAACGGAAACCGCGATGACGTGATGCGCTCTAGCGGGCGCAGCCCCGCTAAGTTCGCGCGGAAGGCGCAATCGCTCGACGTTCGCCTGGGCCCTCCAACCAGAACGACGCGCTTCCCACTTCGCAGCGATGAACCGCTTGGCGCGAGCCC